AGGCCTTTTTAAAATGTTTTCTTTTAAGACAACATCTTACTAAGTCACTAAGTTGCTCAGGTTGGGCTTGAGCTTGTGATCCTCCTGCCTCAGCCTCCCAGAGTCCTGGGATTATAGGCATGTACCACCGTGTTGGTTTTAAAGCTTTTTAAAAGGAAATCAATGTGACACATAGAGCATTCATCCATATTTCATCAAAAGCACATGGAATGGGGTAAGCATTTTCTGGATGGCCTGAAGCCGAGGGCTCTTTGCCCCTGCACCTGAGACCCCTCCCTTAATAGCACTTTTGTGCCCTGCCCTCCTGTCAGACACCATTTCACACGCAGTCTGTGAGCACAGAGAAAGAACTAAACAGGGGTGGCATTTCAGGATCCTGAATTGAAGCCACAGCTCCATGGGAGGGCAACCTCCTTCCTGGCCAACAGTCTGAGCTGAGCGCCCAGCTTCGGGGCAGACACTCCAGGGGCGTACTGACTCTGGATGCTGTCCCCTCCGACATGGGTAGCCCTGGGGGCTGGAGTGGGGCGCTTTCCCACCTACACTGATGTGGAGCTGTTTCCTTCCCCTGCTGTCCCATGAACCACTGCACCCGCTGGGCTCTCAGCTTCCGGATGGCCACACTGCAGGGGAGGGGCTGCTTTCTGTGGCCTCGGGCCTCAGCCTGCACTGTGGGCCTCAGTTTCCTCAGCTGTAAAAGCAGAGCAATGCCACCACCTTGCCGTGATGCCTGGGAGACTCTCATGTCCTAGACAAACCCATAGTCACCCTTTTCCTCAGTGGCACCCCCGTCCCCACATTCAGGCCAGAGCCGTCTCAGTTATTAAGTCTCAGTTATCAAAAGACCAGTTTTCTTTGGAATTATTCCTAAGCCTCCCTTCTGTGTAGACCTGAAGGGCATGGGGTGACCTCCAGGATGCTGGTGGCATTTCCTTAGCAACCTTATTAGGCTTGAGGGCTCATCAGAGACACGCCTGTGACGTGTCACTCTGCTGGGCCTCCCCTGACAGTGCCGGTCCCTCATCTTCCAGGCCCCTCCTCCCTTTGGAAGAGCCCACTCAGGGCTCAAGGGTCCCATCAACATGGCAGCACAGAGCAGCAGTTTGGAGAACGGGCTCCAGAGGTTGGGATCCAAGACCAGCAGCGGCATTTACGGAGTGTTACCTTGGACAAGGGACTTCATCTAACCCTTGAGCCACAGCTTCCTTGCTATAGCCTGGGGTGACAAGATGGTACCATTGTCTTCCAGATCCACAAGGTTCCACATCTGAGGAGTCAACCAATGAGGGGAGGTCAACACTATCTGCAAAAACCAAATGTTATGACACATACCTGTAATCTCAGCACTCTTGGAGGCTGAGATGGGAGGGTTATCAGTGTGGGTGCAGCCTGGACCACTTAGCCACTTAGCCAGACCCTGCCTGTCTCAAAATAAAAAATAAAAATGGACTCGGTGCAAAGGTCCTTGGTTCAATCCTCAGTACCATGTAAAAAAGAAAAGAAAAATTTGCAAAAATAAGGGTGTCTAGTTAGGTGTGGTGGTGCGCTCAGTAATCCCAGAACCTAAGAGGCTGAAGCAGGAGGATCACGGCCTGGACTACATAGAGACGCTATTCAGAACAAAGGAAGAAGCAACAATAAAACACCCCAAAAAAGTGTCTCTACAGAACAAGTATGATTTTTTTCCTTCATTATTCTCTAAATACTATAGCTTAACAATCATTTCCATGGCATTTACATGTAGAAATAATTTAAAGTATATGAGAGGATGTGCAAAAGTTATACCCCAATACTACACTACATATCCTTGGAGTTTGGTGTCCACAGGGGAACCCTGGACCAAGACACTTTGCACCTAGAGACCACTGTCCCAGCTGTGATGGGTGTGTCCTGTGATGAAGGCACAGGAGGAGCCCACCCCTCGGGAGGTGAGCAGGAGTCTGGCGGGGTGTTTCTGCGTGTCCTGCTCGGGTGTGGTCTGTATACCATGTGGTCACATGTCCTGCTGTAGCTTGTAAAGAGGTGAGGGATTCTGGTACCCCTGGGAAGCCCTCGAACCAGCCCCCAGCAGGTCCCAAGGGATGGCTACATGTACTGTGGGAGTCATTTTCTTGGGGCATCCACTGTACTTGAAGATCGGGAGGAGAAAAACGTGTGTATGTTAAAGTAAGTATATCTTCACAGCAAATGTCTCGTGGCAAAAACCATAACACTATGTCCCCAAAGTCCCACTTCCCCGTCTCTTCTTGAGGGACAGAAGAGTGGATTTCCTTCCTTCCCAGCATATGGGGTTGGGCCATGGTCATACGGCTGTAGGTAGAGTTGGCTGTGCCCTGAACAACTCACCTGTCATCCTCTGCCTGCTCCTCCCTGAAGCAACAGGAGGCCACTGGGGAGAAGAAGAGCCGAGGCTGGCGGAAGCTGGAGTCACGTGGAAGGGGTCACCCTGGAGGACCACTTGACTCATGGCAGATTGCATGAGCAAAAAGAAACTGGTGCTGGGTAAAGCTACTGACACCTGAGAGTTTGTTATTTCAGTACTTACAGAACTTTTAAAGCTAAAACATGGGGATTCACCTAAGCGGGTCCTTCAGCTGGCCTCTTTGGGCTGTACCCTCAGATTTCTGACCTGTCCACATGGGGCTCATTTTCCAAGCACAGCTCGTGATATACCCACCGGCTCCCGAAGGCCAACAGCTGCTGGTTCCAGAAATGGCTCAAGGCAGATGCATTTCAGTGTCAAGAGCGGAGCCATTGACTGGAGTGCTGCACCAGATCATGTCTCAGGCATCAAGAGTCTGCTGATTACAGCCAAGTGAGACATGCTGCTCAGCCAGCCTCCAAGGGTCCTCAGCACCACTCTACCAGGGGTCGGGAGGAGCCAGTTGCAGTGAACGGAATGCTGTGTCCTCCCCAAATTCATTTGATGAGCTCCTTACCCTTAATATGATGCTATCTGGAAGTTTGCATGAGGGGGAGCCCTCACAAATGGGATTAGTGCCCTTATAAAAGGGACCCTATAGTGTTATTTCTGTCAGGTAAGCACGCAAAGAGAGGATGGCAGTGTACAACCTACAAGAGAACCCTTACCGACAATGCTGATACCCTGACCTTGGACATGCAGTCTTCACAACTGGAAGAGATAAATTTCTATTGTTTATAAGCCCCCTGATTTATGATAGCTTGTTATAACAGCCCCAGTAGACTAAGATAGCAACCTAGATCTTTCCTTGCACCTTAGGGTAGGCCAGCCCAGTAGTCAATTGCGTGCCATAGTGGGCATACACACGTCTTCTAGGTTGCCCTGACTGGGGCAGTGCCAGGGTTCACAGCCAGGCTCAGGTGGCTGGGAGAAGACGCTCTTGCAGTTATACATTGGATGGGTTACTTCCCCTGACCATACCACCTCCAGCTCTGTAGAAGGGCTGGAATGTAAAATGTACTGGAATTTACCCCACAGGTTAAAAGTTGGAAGAACAATGATAACCTTACATGCAACCCCAAATATACAAAATAGATAACAGCTGAGCTGCAAGGTTCTCTGGCTCCAGCCATGAACCGCTGTGCCCACTAGAGCTTTCTGGACTCTTTCCACGGTGGATACTACATATAGCCATGGGCTGAAGGATGCTGCTGGCTTCTGCTCTATTTCTCTGATCAACTAGAGAAAAATAGATGTCCTCACTGCAGAGTGATGGTCCTTAACTGATGTCCCTAACTCGCTGGGCAAAGGGGCAAGATGCCTCCTCCTCTGAGCCTTCCTTGGCTCATTCAAAGAATTGGAAGGTTGGACTGCGGTGGTCACGGATGCAGCGTTGTAACAAAACTGCTTGTATGAGAGATACAGCTGTAGCTGCTTGGGTCAAAGACAGAGGTGGGCCTGAGTTCTGAGGGGTCACCACCAAATATGCAGGGATCCTGGAGGGAAGGAGGGAGGGTGGGAGGCCCCTCCGGACTCAGCAGTCCCCACTCAACACGCCCCCAAATCATGCCTGGCTGGAGGCAGAGGGCCAAGGCAGGGGTAACCTCACTGGGTGCCACAATCATCTCCTCACTTGGCTTCTGGCATCTGGCAGGCAAACCTGGGTGGGGTGACAACTCTGTCACGCTGCAGGACCACGACTTCTAACACGGTAGCCTAGGACCGAGAGGCTGGCACACACGGGGAACATGAAGCAAGCATAGAAACTGATCGTTTTGTAAAATAGCAACCCTGAGAGGGCCTAGGAGCTACGCAGCTGCCAGCAGTCACAGCCTACCTAAGTGGCTTCTGTCTCGGCAGAGGGGCCCTGCAAAACAAATGCTTCTCTCGTGCCTCTCGGGAGGAGGTGGGGGAGATTTCCACCGAGCTGGGGTCTTATTTTATTTTTAACTCAAGGCCATCTGCTTTCCACTTTCCACCGGGTGGTCGAGAGTCTGGGAAAAATTCAGAGTGAACATATGTTGCTCCCCCGGGGTCCGGAGGGAGGCGGTGCTGGGAGGTGGTGAGGGCCTTGGCTCCCAGGGTCAGAGCTGCAGGACCAGGTGCACCAGCAGCACCAGGAATGGCTTCAGTGGTGCGGCTTCCGCGGTCCTGCTCTCTGGGGCCCAGCCCTGCCTTGAGCTCCCCAGGAGCGGCTGGGACTTGCCCCGAACATCTGCTCCAGGCACAGGGCTGAGGGCTGGTGCAGGGCCACAGAGCTCTCCCTTCTCCCAGAGCAGGCGTCCCTGGTACAGAGTCTCTACCAGGTGGCTGAACTCTAGGGACAGGGCCCTCCTTCCTCGGATAGACAGTCCCCAGGTTGGAGGGTCCCCCAAACTCCTCCCACGGCCTCCCCCAGGACCTCACAGTTTCCTGGAGGGAATAATTGGCTTCCCAGGCAGACATTAACTGCAAGGGGAGAAAAAAATTAAAAGGTGCCCTTTTCCTACCAGCTGACCCAAACTGAACGAGCACTGCCCACCCCGTGGATTTGTTGTCAAAAATTATCACGCAGAAGAAACTGTCAATACTCCGCAGCCTGTTGTACAATGAGCCTGTGGTTAGCAATGCTCAGCTTTGTTTTATTATTGCGTTTTAAGAAGTTACCAAGACAACTGAGGCCAAGGAACAGAACCTTGACTTCATGTGCCATGAAAATTTAATAAAGAATTTTTAAAGGCTTCTAAGAGGCAGGAGCTGCAGCTTCTTAAAGGCAGTGCTGGGCACACGAAGAGGGAGGCTGGGGCCTGTGGGGGTCTTACCAGACCTCCCGGAGCCTCTGCCAGGGCCGACGAGGTGGCAGCAGTGTTCCTTGGCATGTGACAGTTTCAGCATATGGAGACTATGCCTCGTCTCAACCGACATTTATGAAGACACCTCCCAGGTGCCAAGCCCTGTGCCAGGCTCTTTGCATCCATCGTGACGTGATTTCCACTTCACAGGCGAGGAATAGGGTCAGAGAGAAATCACTGGTGCGTGGTCACATAGAGCAAAATCCAGACTCAGGTCTGGTTTCAAAGCCATAGGTCTTTCCAGAACCGCCTGGAGCTACTCTGGGATTCCCCATTCTCATGCAAGATATTCTGCAGGGAAAATATCCAGGCAGCCTGGGCTGGGCCCCAGAGAGCTGAGTGAGCAGCAAGGTCCTGCAGCCCAGGACGACAGTCTGGGTTGGAACCCGAGCAAAGGCGTGCTTCCAGTTGGAGGCAACGTTTCCCAGGAGCCTCCTGTTGAGCAGGTTGTGCCACAGGGCTGCAAAGAGCCCTTCTTCCTCTGCTCTCTGAATGAGACTCAGAAGCAAACTGCCAGAAATGAGGGAAGCATTAAGGATCTTATCATCTTATACCAGTGCTCAGGGGCGTTCCGTGTATGGGCACACATGTGCGATAAGTATGTGCATTCTGCTGCATGGTTTTTCTAAGCAATACAAAGATCAAGACTTTGGGTTATAAGAGACGAAAGCAATGGGATTTGCTGACTATTCAGAAGGGCTCCTTTGTGTCCTGGAAAAGAAAAACAAAATGAAACAAAACAAAAACAAAAAATTGGATTTACTTTGTGAGGGAGAAATTCATACACCATGTGGGAAAAATCGATCTTGCATTCATTAAGCCAAATAGGAGACTGGCAGAAATATTCAGGAGGCAAGGCGGATTTTAGGTTAGTTTGTTCTGTGGTGAATCCCCTTGCCGAGCAGGGACAGCTTCCTCAGCTGCTGGGAGCAACTCCCCGAAGGGAGCGTCTATCATTTCTGAGCTTCAGAGAAGGTGCTCAGACACTGAATGTGGCAAGCCCAGTTTTCAGTTATAGGGCCGCGGAGCATAGGACATTAATCAAAAAATGAAAGAAAAAAAAGTCAAGCTATTTTGGAGTAACACTGCCAATCACAAGGCAAATTCCAGACGTCGGAGGAGCGGGCAGGGACCATTTTTCAGCCTGCGAATGTCTTTAAATAAGTGAGGCTGAAAAGGAGGCGGGAGGGAGAGGCTTCATTTGGCTTCATTTGTCTTGGCAGACAAAATTATTCAAGAGAGCTTTACCGTCATCCCTTTGCACTTTGTAGGACACCCGAAACTCCTCTGAAGGTAACACTATAGCTCAGCAGCACTTTGGTTTACGAAACACTTGCACATTTATTATGCTTCCTATGGCCTCGCCTAATGTTCCTAAGATTAATGGAGGGAAGAAATCACCCCCGTTTGTGTGGCTGAGGACTGGAACCCTTACAATCTACATGGCCTGCAGAGCTTTCCTGGGGTGCTCAGTGGCAGAAGAGCAGCCTCCAGGGCCCATGTCTGTAGAACGGGGCCAAGACCCACGAGGATGCAGAGGAAAGAGCAGAGGGGTCTGGAGCCAGGGGCTCGGTGAGAATCCTGGCTTTGCCCTTCATCAACCAAGACCCCTAGGACGAGCCGTGCAACCTCCTGAGCAGAAGAAAAGACAGCGATGATCACCCTCAGCCTTCAGTAGGTGGTTGGGAGGATCAAGATGAGAAAACAAACTTAAAAGTACTTTGTAAACTGTGAAGCACCGAGCATGGGTTGTTAAATTCACATAGTAAGGGAATTCCTTCTAGGAATGTTGATTCCTTCCCAGTCTCACCCAGTGCCTCTCCCTGACTGCCCGCAGCCACAGCGGGACGACCTTCTCTGAGCGAAGCACCCGACAGTCTGGGTTGCTGATGTACAGTGCGCGAGGGACAGGCTGTGTGCCCCACTGGACAGTGTGGGAACCATCAGCTGGGGGTCCTCCTCAGGCCCCAGGAATAAGAGAAAGAACATTGCCTAGGGGACACAGCCAAGACCTGTGCCTGGGCACCTGCAGCTTGGCCAGAGAGAGGTTCCTAGTGTGGGAAAAGCCATTGTCACTGGGGTGGAGTGGCTCTATCATGGGATGGCCACTGTGACTGAACAGAGAATGAGCCGGGCTGGAATCCGGAGGTGACTGGAGAATTGGCTGGGCAAGGCCTAGAACGCACAGTCCTCAAGGGCATCTGCCGGCCACCAGGAGCAAGGGCGTGGGGACGCTGGCCCCTCACCAGCACTGCTCGACACCTTCTGACCTCAGTAAGCACCTGGTGGCCCCTGCTCTTCACTTTGGGGTGACACGGGTCCCACATAGGCCTGGCCCTGAAAGAAGTCACGGCTGGGCGGGAGCGAATGCTGTGGTCCCACGGGGAGGCAAAGGAAGTCTGCACGGAGGGGGCCGTTCATTCTGTGCTGGGCTGCAGCAGGCAGCTGAGCTGGACCTTGAGGGAGGCATAGGTTTGTGCTGTCCAGGGGGAGCAGCAAGGGTAGAGGGGTGGAGGTCACAGAGCAGGCCCCCGCTGGTGACCTCCCGCTGGGCAGGAAATGGCACATTGTCTTCCTGTCCGATGACAGAGAGATTGAAAGAGCCCCGAGAGTCTTGCTGGAGACACGCCCAGGAAGGGTGGGGTCCAGGTGTGGAAAGAGAGGGACTTGATTATGATTACGTCTGGCTGAAGGCAGCCTTCGTTGTGTCCACTCCAGGGCTCTCCAGTTCCCTCCCGGCTGACATGGGTGTAGGGGTCGGAGTAGGAGGCAGAGCAGAGGAGTACGGACGCTGTGGAATCAGTTCTGGAGGAGAAACCAGAGGAGCCACGGAGGCCCGCTTGGGAGTTGAGACTCGGTCTCCAGCAGGCCCTGCCTCCTCCCGTGAGGACAGGCCTGTTAAGACCCACACTGACAGCGCCCAGGGACCTCGTGCTTTTCTGCAGCATGCACTGCAGGGGGCCCTCTGGCCAGGTGAGTGGGAGCAATGCTCCCCTTGAAGGGCAGCAAAGCCGAGTCTAGTCCCCTGGGGTGCTGGAAGAAGGCAGCAGGCAAGGGCAGCGTGAGGGTATGAGGAAGCTCGCTGGGCACAGCCAGAGTGGCCCATGGGAAAAAGTGGGCAGGGCCCAGTTGGGTGGATCAGTTCTCGGGCTGAAGCTGTCTTCCTGGGGTTACCCACTGACTTATCGTGCTGGGGGACCACACCCCAAATGCAGCCCCCACTGAGCCTGATCTTACACACTCTCTCCACCCCCCAGCCCTCTGGGAACTCAGTTCGTGGGCCAGTTCAAGGGTCAGCATGGCATGAGCAGGAGGGGGATGAAGGGCAGGCAAGGTGGGGGAGAGAAGAGGCTGGGATGGGTCCGAAGGGACCTTCCAAGAGATGGGCTCGTGTCACAGTCAAGCACAGGGACCCTGAGTTCTAACACAGAGAGGCCTCTGAGCCAGCCGGTCTCCCTGGCTGTCTCCCCTCTGCCAGGAAGAAGGACCCATCTGCTTTTGTCTCATTTCAATCACACCCTGCAAACGGGTGGCTGGTTACCAAGGGGGACAGACACGATGGGACTGCTCCTGGGAACTGAGGGGGTGGGAGGAGTCTCCTAGAGATCTGAGAGTGAAGACGCCTTGAAGTTCTCTGACCAGCAGTACTGGGGAGAAGGGACCCAGCTTGTCCCTGATGAGCCCCTCCTCCGACGGCAGCCTCGTGTCTCTGATAATCACTTCGGAGGCTGTGTTCTCTCAGGTGTGGGGCTCCCCCACGGCTCTGTCCACAGGGAAAGGGTGTGATCCAGGACAGAGGGCCCCATAACTGACAGTGATCTGCCTCCAGATGACAGGCGCAGAGTGGAGAGGACATTGCTCGCCATGAGTGGCGACATTTTTATATCACTCCAAAAATGTGGCTGGAATTCAACCTCTTGATCCTCCCCTCTCCCCAGTCCAGTGTGCTTGGTGGGGGTTCAGGCCCGAAGACTGTCTTCCATTTTGGCAAGTAAGCACTTTCTACAGAGCCACTTCAAGAAGCAGTGTCCGGGGAGGAAAGACTCCTCAGCTCCCAGCTGCTGGCAAACCTCCTGGCACGTCCCCTGGGCCTTTCATGGTGAAATCCTTGTGTGCTGTCCGGGTGGCATGAAGAGCAGTGTCAGGGTCTTCACACTCTGCTTCTCCCAGAGGAGCCCTGGGGAGCACCGATTGCTCTGGCCCAGGCCTCCATACTTTCAACAAGCATCCTTCCGCTCGCCCTGGTTCTTTTTGGGCCCTCAACTCCTGGCCGAAGGCATGTCCCCTCCCCCAGGGCCCCCAACACAATGCTGGGCACACAGGGCCTCTTGACCATTTAGTCAGAGCTCCACCCTTGCAGGGGTCCACTCAGGGGTCCATCCTCTGGACCATAGATAGCTGATAATGGGATCCCTGCTTTGGGGTCAGAGTCAAACAAGATGACCACTCCGGCTCCTGCCAGCTCTCAGGCCGTAGGGGTCTAACTTAGTTGTATCTTAATTATATCTTAATTAGTAACAAACCAAACATTGCAGCAACAGGTGAGCTAGTGAAATAAACGAGGCTAATCTGTTGACTACACCAGTGTAGCACATGATCGGGTGGGGGTGGGGCTGGGGGGTTCGCATCTGCCTACTTGGTATTTCCACTTCATTTTGGGGGGTAGGAAATGAACGTGATGCCGGTGGGCTTTAACCAGCAGCTCTCAGAGGCCTCAGCAGATCCAGGGCTCAGCTTCCTCTCCAAAGCACTCGGTTTTGGGGTTGTTTGTGCCTCTTCACCCCAAACACAACAGATTTGCCCTAGTTAGTGCTTCCTGCGAGCCCAGAATAGAAGGTGCCATCTGTCACATTTCAGATGTCAAATGTCCACTGCTGACTGGCAAACAGGGTGTGTCACCAAGAAGTGCCAGGAGGAAGGCGGCAAGAATCAGCCTTGCGAAGCGGGAGCTCAGCAGAACACAGAGGCAAATGAACAGGAGTCGCAGACGGGGATCCTGGCAGCATACCTGTCGTCCCTCTACGGGCAGAAGCCCAGCGCTGTCCTCGGCCCTGAAGGGCACCGTCTTCTTCTGGGAGGACAGAGTGGCCTTCAGGAGAGAGTGGGTCTGGGATGGGAGAACTCAGCACCATTGGCACGGGGTAGGGGACAGGTGTCCTGGTGGGAGATTCTGTGGGGGGACCGGCCCCTCACTGTGCTGATCCGGCCGTACACCAGGCGCTTTTCGTCCAGCAGGGACAGGTGGTATTCGCATAGGTCGATCAGCGAGGCCACCTGCTCATGCAGTGGCAGCATCTTGAACTTTCTCTGGGCCAGGAAAAAGAAGGCTTCGATGAAGGCCTGCAAACACATCCCTGTGGACAGAAAGAAGGGGTCAGGGTGTGCACTGCTGCCCCGGGGAAGGCTCACGCCACCTCAAGGCCATCAGCAAGAACAAACCTCTCTCCCTACCAGCACATTCTAGAAACTCCAAAGCAGGCTAACTTTCCTAGAATGCCTAGCACCCACTAGCTGGGTGTCTTCTAGGCATTTGTAGATTCAATGCCTTAAATGTCCCAGGGAAGTAAGCTTAATTATCCCTCCTTTACAGGTGAGAAAATTAAGTCTCAGAGGAATAGGGAGACCAGGGTGGAAAGTGGTTGGGTCTGAATTTAAACCCAGCCAAAAGCCTTAGTTAGCCTTGGATGCCACAGTGAAGTGTCCCCTAAACTCAGCCCCTAACTTCTATAACAAGTAAGAAAAGTTATTGAGATAGCTACTATCTGACAGCAATGTTCTATACACAAATAGGGATATAGGCTACATGTCAAAATATATCTAATTAGATTAGGTGTTTTGCTGTATGTCAATCTTCAAGAAGTAAAATAAACTCAACTGCCACTCTCTGACCAAATTTATGTTCAGAAACATATGATGTGTAACCCTCGCGGCATCTCTGGAACGTCTTTCCCTGCTTTGCCTCATAAGCTACTCATCTTTAGGATCTGAGCTTGAAATTATTTGTTTAATGAAACACTCTCCACCTCCAGGTTAGACGGGGCCCCTGGTACAGCATCTGCGCTGTTTTTTTGTTGCTTTGTTTCGGTGGTGCTGGGGATTGAACCCAGAGTCTCACGCATGCTAGGCAAGTGCATTATTGTTGAGCTCCACCCCTAGCCCTCTTGTACTTCTCTTTGTAGTGACGACAAGAGCAAGCAGCTTGCTTGGTGTTTGTGTGGCTCTTTAACTGTCTCCCTCTTCCCTGCTGGATTGTGAGCTGCAGCGCATCTCGGAACTTCCACACTGCTACAGGGAGTGCTTGGTATAGAGACCATGCGTACATGAGTGAGTGAAGGGATGAAAGAACAAATGAATGAGTGAGTGCGTTGGTGCTAGGCACTTTACAGACATCACCACTGGTCCTGACAGTATCCTTGTGAGGTCAATATTATCATGTCTCGCTTTACAGATGAGGAAACTGACACTCAGATTAAGTGACTTCTCTAAGGTCACACAGCCAGAGAACAGTGCCCTGGAAACTAAAAATTTTTAAACTATGTTGTGCTGTATGAAGGGTTCTGAGTCTTTTCAACAGCGAGTACAAATGAATCTTGGAGTCTACATCTATGGGCCTCTGTGGGTTCCTTGGGGAAGGTGACACTGAGGCTGGACCAAATGTCACAGAGCATTTTAGCCGAGATCAGCTCTGACCCTGTTAATCTACACATTCCCAGTGGCCAAAGTGTTATTCACCTGCCTGTCACCACAGGCCAGGCCTGGGGTTTGTGGATTCTGGATGATACCTGGATGCTGGGATCTGAGAGCATATTCTGCCTTGGGAATTTGAACTGAGCAAAGCAGCTGTTCTTTGTCTCCTTCCAGGTCTATCCGTTTTTGGGCTCTGCCTCTCTTGACTTCAGAGGCCCTGCAAGTTTGGCCCTGGCAGGAGGAGTTGATAAAGAGAACCCGATCCTGGTGGGAAACGCTGTCAGTGTAAACAGAGGCCTTGTATGGACACACAGGGCAATGGGGGCCTCAGTCTAAGTCAGACACAAATGTTTCCAATCACTAACTTCGGGTCAGGCTTTCCTAGTGTGTGTGTGTATGCATGTGTGTTTGCGTGCATGCACAAACATGTGTCTGTTTGTGTGTATGCATGTGCCTGCACATCAGAGTTAGGTGAAAGAGACCACGATCTAAAGCCAGAGCAACCCAGCCCCCGCTTCCCAACTGAGTAATCTGTGCTGCTCCAAGTGTGTCCGGTCAAGGATGCCAAGCTCACAAACTGCATGTCTCAGCCCTGACAAGATAAGGAGCTTGAGCCAGAATGTAAATCACCCAACTCATCAATCACATTGTTTAGTTCAGCTGACAGTATTTTGCAGCAAGTCTTTCCCTATAAAGGAAGCAGCGTGCTGTTTACACTACTGGCTCAAACCTCTTGGCCAGGACTGTAACAAACAGTTCGTGCATTGCAGCTTTGAATACCTCTGATCTACAAGGCCTGTAGCAGTGTTAATAGGCAGTCCATTCACCCCAGCCTTTGTAAAATGTGGGTCGGGGAAGGGCAAAGACGCTGCATGTTAGCTTTGGATGGGTGGTACTCCAGTCGCTGGTCTCTGGACCACACTTGGGGTAGAAAGGGCAACTCACTGCACCACAAACATCTACGATTAGAGCTGCAATGCACAGGAAAAAAATACAATAAGGACTTATTTGGACAAAAAAACCAAAACTATGTGGCCACATTACCTGGAAGAAGACATTCTCAAATGAGAAGTTGCATTTGATATATTCTACCTGGTTTTCTTTTGCTTGACCGCACTTTCTGATTTTCTGTAGTAAACACGTGTGATTTCAAAGTTTGCAATAGGAAATTCTAGCAGGAAGAAAGAGGCAATACAGAGACAGCTGCTTTTAATTCTGAACACTTTGCTACTATTTGAAT